GAACTCCCCTCAGACCGGCTGTCCCTCTCCCTCTCGGGGTCCTCTCTCTTCAGACCCGCTTTCCCGACCCCTCGCAGCGTCCCCTTTCAGACACACTTTCCCCTGCCCCTCTCGGGGACCCCCTCGGACCCTCTACCCCAGCCCCTCTCGGGGTTTCCTCTCTATATCCTGGACTGTCAAACCCGCTCCTGGAACTCCCCTCACGCGGGTCCTCGGCGACCTCATTCCGCCCATGATCTCCTCTCCTGGGCTCACGCTGTCACCGCCCCGCGCTCCGGTGCTCTCACCTCAGACCGGCTGTCACCACCCGGGCCCGGCGTCGCCGCCGCCGCTTCCTCTCCCACACTTGTTCCCGAGTCGCTCTTCTGCCGCTTGTCCCCTGGCAGATCCCTTGGTCCAGTCGCGGAGTGCTGGGTCCGGCCGAGCGGAGCCTCCGCCCGCGGTCTCTGCGTCGCGTCCCACTCTCTCACGCAGAACCCCGCCGCCGCCGCCGCCGCCGGGCGCCACACGGACCCTCCCGCGGCCGCCGCTGCTGCTGTCCGAGGTGCGGCTCTTGCCAGGGGTGGCCAATCGCACCCGACTGCGCCGAGCGCGCTCCGCCCCACGGTCTCAGTTCGCCCGCCCCCTGCCCCCCGACCACGCCCCCATCTCGTCTCCGATAGGCTCTCTACTGACCTTCCTTGATCGTCGTGCACGGCCTGGGGCCGGATATAGGTACTTGATTGAAGGTGCCTGGGAAGCCGAGCGGTCGATGGCGCCTGAGGATTGGCGGAGTTGACGGTGGGCGGGCTGGGGCGGGGCGGGGTTTTTTCAGAGGCGGAAGACCTTGCAACTTCAGTTACCCGCTGGCCGGCCTGGGGTGCGGTCACTCTTGTTTGTGCTGGGCTGGGTCGAAGTTCATGGCACTCCTTCCTGAACCTTTACTTTTCTTGGGACACTCCCAGTGGCTAAGACCTTCTGAGATTCTCTGGACCACCATGTTAGAGCCTCTGAGGAGGTCCCCATTCTTGCGATGGACCTAGCACAGCTTCCTAAGTAATTCTGCCAAAAATTAATATAGCATTTATTCACCCAGGACTTATAGTTCCTGGATTTAAACTCTTCTGTATTTTTATCAAGGGAATTTCCCTTCCTTTATTGCGTTCAACAGACGTCAGTTTAATGCTCTTGGAAAAAGAAATCTATATACTGGATGCATACTCTGCACAAGTAAACATTCAACGCTGATGGGGAACATTTTGATCAGTACATGGACAAAATTTTAGAAATCTTCAGTTTGTGGGTTTTGATAATCATTATGACAGGCGGAATAGGAACTGTGTGGTAGGGGAAACCTTGTTAGTTTTAGCAAGGTTTCAGCAAGCCTATAGAACATTTTTCTGTGTGAACTAAATGCCAAAGTATAATGAACTTGGACTGAAGTGTACCCTTTGATAACCAGAGATCTTGATCCAAGCTGAAAGATGGGGCCTGCTGGGGGTGAAAGTGCATCATGTTATTCAGAACCATTCTTTATATTTTTGTGAAACTGGATATGTTGATTAAACAATATCAGAAACTGAAAACAGCTACCCTCACCCCCAAAACCCCAAAGTTTATGGACTTCACAATTTAGCATTTTATGAAGAAATTGTTTCATTTCAAGGACGCAATATGATCCTGAGCCCTGTCAGATGTACATAGGACTTCATTCTCAGAAAACTCCATCATTAACTTTTTTTGTGTTAACTCCCACTGACAAAATTTGTGTTCTAATCACCATATATATTTTCCTTAGTGTTTTAAAATCCTACCCCATTCCAATTAAGATATTCCCCTTTGAGAGTTAGGGTATGCAAAGAGAGCCTAGGAAAATGGGGCTAGCAGGACCTTAAGACTAGTTCTGAAGTAGATGTAGCCTGAGCAGTGTGTTGAATGCCATTTTGGGAAGGGATGCAGAGAGATTTCAAGATAGTAAAAGATAGTTTTAAGGGAACTTGATTTTTACAGGCCTAGAGAGGTTGTCCAAAACCATTATATTAAAACAACTATCAAGGTTGGGTAACAGAGAATTTTACTATGTCCTTCTTCTCTAAAGAGTATTTATTAATTAAGGACTCATTCTACCAATTCTGAAGTTGGCAATATGGAAAATAAGAAATGGGGTAAGTTTTCACTACTCAAGTGTTCAATTGTGTCTATTCATATAAAAAAGAAATGCATGACCACTAACAGATATTATTTACAATCAAGAAAACAGAAATAAAACATAAGCAAGATAAAAATCCCAGTGTCTTGAAACCAATTAGTAATGAAATCAACTTTTTTTTTTTTAAGATTTTTGTTTGTTTGTTTTTTGTGTTTTTTTTTAATTGGGGATTTGGGGTTGGCACCATCATTGTGCTCTTCCCTGGCGAGGCACATCAGTTGCCGGCTTCTGGACGGCCACTCACTGTGGCTGCTGGCCGCTCACGCTGGCTGCTGGCTACACACGGTAGCCCATGGCAACTCACTGCC